AAATTTTAGGAAGCATCTCTGAATTATGAGAAGTTTCATGTGTGCTGCAGCTGACTGGAAACACTGACATAATAATGTAGGTCTGAGCTACTGAGATGATTCTAGAAATGTTTTGTACACTTATGCCATTGCAGTTAAATTATAATAAGATGTTTTGAGGAATTGCATTAGTCTTAATATAAAAAAGCAGAAGTAAAACATAGACAAGCATTAAATAACTACAATGTTGCATCATCATCATTTTTTAAAAAAAAAATAAGTTAGGTTAAAAAATGCTACAGTGACGGGTGTAGAACACCGCAGCCACCACAAAGGTAGCTAGAAGCAATGCTGCACATGCAAGAGTTAAAAATGAATGCCTGTTACAACCTTTTCACTGTGCATTTCCTCACAGCTAATAGATACCAGATGTTTGTCCCACTCCACTGTACAAGCTAACTTCAAAAAAAAAAAAAAGTCCTGCAAAAGGATTGTTTAAAAAAAAAAAAAAAAGGTTGTACAATGTCAGTTTGTACACTTCTGCAGATAGTCTGGACATCACCTTGTTCCATTTAGTCCTTCTTTATATATTCTGTGGAAAATTATGAACCACACTCTATTACAAAATCCAAGAATTTGCTGCACTGACCATACAGCAAATACACACATGACAACATAAAGTGGTTTGATGCATTAACGTTAGACTTTCTACTAGTTACTTCGGCATACATGTGAAATACCAGCTAGCTCTAATTTAAAGAACATTTGTATTTTATTACAGATTCCCTACGGGCTAACTGTCGATCTAGAATAACTGGAACAAGAAGATAGAGGATTGGGTGTGCCGCTTATAAAAATCCAAATTCCTTCGAAACATGTGCCGTTTAGTAAATCAGATTCATGCTGACGTATTAGATACACTCTGTTTATATCAGGCCTTAGCGTTATGGTTTAAATTAGCGAGCACAAGCAGCTGCCAGATTTTTAAATGTAGTTTGGTGCGCTTCTCTCTGTACAGGAAACGGATACTTGTGTTCGCTACTATGAACCACCCCTCATGCACCACAATAACACTGTGAGAATTTCACTGATTAGAATTAGAGAAGTAAGCGCTTTAAGGAGAATTATACGCAAAAACCTGCTAGCTAAGCTGCTTCATAAAAACACCTTTCTCCAACTAAGGCAAGGGAAGCTAGGTGGAATAAGGCAACCTGCTTTGTCTTTACGGGTCGTTTAAGTTTAAATTTAATTCCCAATGATAACTTTAATGATTATCGAGCTTTCACACTAATAACTCTGACGTTTCAATAATGCAATAAAGGGGCAGTGAGTTAGGCATAGGCCCGCTGCACTGTTAGTCAGGAGGAAGCTTACTACTGATAGGGTGCTGGGTGTGTCTGTTGGACTGTTAGCTGCTGCCACCGGAGCTAAAAGCATAAATATAACAGTACATGTTGTCAATTATGGCTGCTTGACTCACCGTCCTCGAGGCAGTAACAGTGGTGTAGTACAGTTTGATTCCCATAGCTGCAGATCCTTCCACTCTCTCTTTGTGTATCTGCTTGCAAGTAGCTTTCTCCCGCTGGTATCAAGGTAGCTGTTAAACCTGGAAGGACGTCCGGCGAGGTCCGCTTTTCAAAATAAAAGACATTTCGACTTCAAGTAAAACATAAAGTCATATGTAACTTAAAAAGTGGGAAACACATTTAAGTCGGGTTGTATATGTGGACTCTGAAATCACAAATTGCAGCATTCTTGAAACAGCGACATGACTATGAATAGAATAGTAACAGAAACAGAACTAGTAGCAATTATTATGAAGGTTTTGAATGTTTGATCAGAGAAAAAGCAGTCTGAAGGCATCAACGGCCCTTGTTTGACTGAGAAAAAAATGGTTAGGTAGGTTAATCAGTGATTAATTATATTTCTAAACACTGTTATTAGTTACATTATTATTTGCTTCATAGATCTGCGCTGGCAATCACTGGCAGCTTTTTTTGACATGTTTAATGTTGAGAACTTAGACAGGAAATGGTTTGTTATACTTGGGCAGACTTGATTCTACTCCTCCTCTATCCTGTGGTCCGCTGTGCATAGTTTAAAGAGACAGCACATGACTTTATTCATGTTTCAGTGTGGCGTGAGGCATCAACTCCTGTCAGCCCTACATATAGGGTTATATATTTAATTCACTCTAAGCTGCTACCTTCTTTCACTCAGTCTTACACACTTCCTTCTTATACCCTTTCCCCTTCTTCATCTCACTTTATTAATTTTGTCCTCTTAAGACCCTGTCTTTCTTAATTTTTCTCTTACATTTTATCCACCTTTTGCAGAATTCCAAACAATCAGTTGCCAGAGAAAGTAAAGGCAGTTTGATACTCGCTTCCAGCATGAGGATACAGATCAAAGCAATAAGAGAGCCGAATGGTACTGGATTTTGGGGGGGGGG